CTACAAAACAGCAAACATACGCCAAAGCGTTACACAGCTTATATTGTCACGCATTCGACACATACTCGTTATCAATTGAGGAATACAGGATGTTGCTATTGCATCTCGGCTTACTTGTGGTCGGATACTCGGGACTGCTTCCTTAAACTGAAGACAAAACAACAAGCGCAGAGCACAGCATCTTAAGGCCGTTTGGCGTTCTTGTTTGCCTTTCTGTTTCCGCATATAATACTGGAGCAGTTAAACTATGCCGTTTGACACGGCAGGAATTTAAATAGTGGCAGTCCGTACCTTTTGGTCTAGTTGGATTATAACCATGCAGTTCTTGCCTACAGGAACTGGAACATCAGCAAGTTTTGTGCCCATGACCAAGTAGTACGGGAATTCCGTCTTCGGAGAGCAACCTCCAGGCGTCTGAATCCCCCAGAATACACGACTCCAGACGCCCGTTGATGAGACACGTTTCCGGAAGAATACCCGTACCAACTGCTCGCCGACGTCTGCCAGGTTGGAGCGTTTCTCGCCAGGCTCTTGGATGAAGAAACCAGGCACCGTTGAGGCCTGTTAAGCAACAAGCAGTCAACGCGCTAGCTCGTCTCAGAAGGGAAAATGGAAGTACCTACCCGCTCACTACGTAAGGTGCAATACGTCCAAGGGGAAGAGAACTCACAGGCTGTCCAGGAAGTGTTCCCCAAGTTTGCTCTGTTGGGAGCATGACACCCGCAGGCGACTGTGAAACGGAGGAGAAGCCGATCCCCTGAGCGCTCGGGGGTGTTCCAACAACCTGAAAGAAAACGAAAACGAGAAGCGTTAGGCCGAGTTCTCACATGTCTGCACTGTAGCATTGGATTTGCCAGCATGGCATCTCAGGAGACGGACTTAATGCTTACCTGAACACTCATTGAAACATGCTTTATGTGTTGATGCTGAGCCTCTTCCGGCACAAGCGCCCATAGAGTAAGACTCGACAGCATCTTCTGGGCGTTCTCTGTAGTTCCCAGAGGCGTTTCGACTGTGAAAGAAGTTCCATCTCGCTTTGTGAAAACGGTGCGAAGCAGTATGGGCTGGTTTGGAATCCGGGCTTCTTGCAGCATACTTCCTAACCGTTGCCCCATTCTCTTGAGAAGGTCATCAATACTGCTCTTATCCGTTGAACTGATGAATCGTAAGGGGACTTTAACACTTTGACCGAGTATGCCAAGATCTACGGAGCCATCTTCCACCTGAAACGTAACAGGAGATAAACCTTTCCATGATCTAGAAGCTATAGAGCAAGATTGGAACACGTTGTCTTCGTTTAAGCGGATGACGGAAAACCTACCGGAATCTGCCCTGCTGCCTGCAAAACAACGGAACACAATCAAGTCGCCAATCACAGAATAAAAAGCCAAGCCTCGGCCTCCTTCTCCATAAACTCGCATAATAACTAACTACCTGTACTGAGACAGAGGGGATTTATGGTGGATGACTTGCTTTTGA